CCTTCTCCAGACACGGATGGAGAAAGTTGTTAAATATCATTGAACACTTGCTATGGACCCCCACCATTTTTGCACTTTGCATGCATCATCCCATTTAATCTCCATAACAATTGCCTTGGAGCCAGTGATGCTGCCTTAGGTTTACACTGGAGTGCAGTCCTTTGCAAGATGCTGCCCTTTCCCACACCTCTACAACTTAAGAAAACTCTAAAGCAGCTGGGCTGGTTAGGGGAGACTGCTTAGAACACACACCTTTAGGAGAAGCGGAGTGAATGGAAATAAATGATCTGGAATAATCCTTTATGTCAAAAAAATACAATAGATGTTATCTTTTCGGTGTGATGCAACGCTGAACACTTCTGATCCTGCAGAGACCCTGTCACCTGCCCATCTCTTAACAAATATTTCTTGGGTCCCTGCCATGTGTCAGGCACTGTGCTAGGTGTTAGGGGGATTCCTGAAGAACAAAGCAGGCAAGATTGTTACCCTCCTGTACCTTAAGTCAAAGTGGAGTAGCCATATATTAAACAAATAATTATATCAATAAGTATCTAGTTATAAGTTTGATAAGCGTTAATAGGGAAAATCGCAGGGTTTGCTACAAAGCTTATAACTGGGGACCTAATCTTGTATTAAGGGCTGGTCGCAGAGTTCTTTGAGGAGATACATTTAATCTGACACCTGATGGATGAGTAATAGTTACTAAAATAAAAGCCAAAATAAAGGATATTATACACTCCCAATAAAGATAATTTAGAGTTTTACAGGGCTCAGAACTAACCAATTCACCCCATCTCTGAGTAGTACTGGATGTTTTATTTTACCTCATATGAGAGAATGTTTTGAAAGTCAAACATTAGGCAATTATTTTTATCTACTCTTTATCCTTGCTGCGACAGTTTGAAGCGAAATTTGAATGTTCTGGACAAGGAATCTAATTGCAACAGTTTCTATTCAAAAACATAGTTAACGTTAAGCAAGCAAAATTACTAATCTTTGGAGACTAAGGATTTGGAAATTTTCATATTTGAGAACCTTTCATAAACACCTGGAATACCTCAAACATCAATGAAGAGGACATTCACTCAGGAGAAGCAATCTGGTGACCTCTTCATATTTATGTGGAACAGCAAGGAGGAGAACCCATAGAAAAACTGCACATAGACAATGTAGCTCCCCAGGGGACAGGTCGGTGACAACTTTTCTGGAGGGCAGTTTGGCATAATGAATCAAAAGCCTTAGAGAGGTTTACACATGACCACTCTACCTCCAGAAGTTATGCTGAAGGAGAGGAGCAAGCATGTATACACAATGCTTAGGGTTAGTTGCTGCTGTCTTATAATAGAGAGGAAAAGCACCAACAATTCAAATGGTCAAAAAAGAGTCCTCAGCTCCATGTTGATCAGTGGTGGTACTCTTGGCATTTGGATTGGGTCAATTCTCCTTTGCATGATCTGGTACTTTTAAGGGTGCTTCGCATCTCAAGGTCCCTCCCATATGCTAGTAGAGTCCCCCAGCCATTTGAACAATAATTGCCCCCTCCCAAACATACATTTCCAAATGCCCCCTAGTGGTGGTGGTGCCACTCTAGGTTAGAAACTACCAATAAAGAACTAGCTTCTGCTTAAGCAGTGAAGGAATCACCCTTTTTACTCTGCTGAGTACCCAACCATATTACAAAGTCGCAGCTCTTACAAACCGGAAGTAAAACATGGTAGGTGCACAATTCATGTTTGCTAAATTGAGTCATCTTTTTTTGTCTTGACTGGGTCAGAATTTTGCTAAGAAGTGAAAGTTGAATGTTCTGAACAAGTAACCTAATTGCAACATTTTCTGGGTCAGAATTTTGCTTTTAACATCACTTTCACCCAATGGCTCTCCTGTTCCCTGGAACATTGGGTAATGTGTGAAGACATATTTGGTTATCACAATTGGGAGATAATACTGGTATCTAGTGGGCAGAGGCCAGGGATGCTGCTAAACATCATACAATGCACAGGACAGACCCCATGACAAAGAATCATCTAGCCCGAAATGCTAGTAAGCACTGAAGTTGAGAAATCTTGTTCACCATTTACCTTTCTTATAGCTTGCTAATTATTTCCCAAATTCTTCCTGAAGTATGACCTACTATAAATGTACTGCCACAGCATCTTGCAGAGATAGGGTATACACTATTGATTGTTTTGAGTCTGAAATAAAATTGGAGCCTTAAAAATAACTTCAGATGGTCAATCTGTTCTGCTACCACAGGGTTCTCTGAGTGACATTAAACACCTTACTTGGAGTGAGCAGAGGCAAAGGATCTGAGCAACTTCTCTGATTGGTTTTCAGCACAGTCATTAGAAATCACAAGATAAATACCTTTTCTTCCTGGCATCATCTGTTATATTTATCATTTTCGCACTATTTTTACAAGGTTGGGGTTTTGCAGCTAGTAGAGTTTCATGAAATTAGATGCCCATATGCTAGAAAGGGAAGTGACTTTCAATTGCATTATATGTAATTGGAGGTATTTCTCGGAAGAAATAGAATAATAAAGAGTATCACCCGAAGGTATAATACCTACCCCATGATCAGGGAGTGAAATGAAAGGTTTCTTACAAAAATGAAAGCACTTTACTCTCAACCCTAACTAGTCTTTAATATTTTGCCTCCAGCACAAAGCATTTTAACATTCACTATAATCTCTCTTGATAGAAAAATGGTCTCTCAAATCATAGACAACTAACATGATATTAAACACCAGAATTTTTATTAGTGAAAGGCACTTAGGAACTCAAATTTTTTTTTCTAATCTTAGAGCATATAGACAACTTTAAAAAAAAACCCTTTAAATTAGAAAAGTAGTAGATTTTAAAACATCTCCTAATTTAAACATTTGAAGCCCATTTTTCCTCATGCAACATGACTCTTTCAAACACCTTTAATACAGACATATTTTATTAGGCAAATATATAACACTTCCAATAGCTTGAGAAGATATTCTTTCTCTGGAGAGCAATTTCCCTTTCTAATCATCTGTGTCGTAAAGGTTTGAGTAAGTGTAGGGAATAGAGAAAATCATCCAAAGAATAATATAATTGATAGAGATGGGGCTAGCCTTTCATTTGACATAATTCAAACACTTGTTTAACAGCATTAATCATTTTCTTTCAAAAAAATCAAAGAAATTTCAGTTTTATGCTTCCCAAAGACATTCACTTGGGTGAGCCAAGTGGCCTCCCAAAATACCATAAGCACTCACTTTTGGAATTGATGAATTTCATCAGGATCCTAGCGTCTGCAATTGTCTGGTCTCTTGGGTCAACATGAGTAGAAAGTTTTCTCTGAATCTGCACGTCATAGAATGACGCTTAATGATCTCAGAGAAGAACCTACTTAAGCAGAAAACTGAAAACAATTTAACTTTGGAAAACTCGGGGCCCAATTTAGCAAGAAGCAATGTCTTTCAGGTGAACAAAAGAAAGATGGGCTGCTTAGCAGTTGTTGGAAATGAGGTTAGTAAGAAAATGAAACAAGCTCACAGATTTATTTAGGTGAAAAAAACCCGCACTGTTCTAATGCTGGTAGAGTGGCAATGTCAAACAAAGGTATTCAGTCAACCAGCACCTAATCTGAGTGTCCAAACAAACTCAATCATATACTCTTGTTCTTCTTAAACTAATTCTTGAATAATATTCTTTACTAAAACATAAAAAAAGAAAGATATAACCTCAATCTACAAACTGGGAGAAAACACTCATTTCATCCTGCTAATAACCCAACACAGAACTATCTTCAATTCTCATGGAGACTATTTTCTGAGAGTGTTTCTATTCTAAGATATTTTCTCTTCCATAGTAAGAATTAGGACAGGGATCACAAAACTGAAGTGCATGTAGGGTTCAGGAAGGTAACATAAAAGGATGAAAAGGACTTAGTGAAGATTGGGATAACTTGGTAAGATCAAATTTTGTCTAAAAGTAATGACCATTACTCAACTCCAGTCTTGCAAAAATTAGATTCCAGAGTCTCAAATTTTCAAGATATAAATATGAAATTTTACATGCAAATTCTTAACTTTAAAATATTTGTAACCAATTGAAATTTTAAATAATACTTTGCTGGCCAAACAAATCCTATCTGTGTGTCTGATTTCTTCTGCCAATTTGCAAGCTCAAAATTGGAAGAAGAAAATGAGAAATGGCTAATCAAAGAGATGATATCAGGGTCACTATGCTTAAGTTACTGGTGAATTCTTGTGTTTTCCTTAATTGTCAAGAACTTGTTAGAAGATCTCCAGAGAATTTTACATGTCAGAGGAAAGCAACAGTCATCAAATACTGAAGATTCTGTCAGTGCTGTCTGTCACAGGGAAGATCATGCAAACACCCAGCTTACAGAGGCGCTTCTAAACCAACATGGGGCTGGTGGAAGAGAAAATTCCAAGCATCAAGAAATGCAGTGTACAGGCCATATATCATTGAGAAAAAATGCAGGGAAACACAAAGAAACCAAGTTCTTTTCATCAAGTCAATAATATTTATAGCCTATGGGTGGTGCCAAAATATGTCAGGAAATGCCAGTATCTTTCTTTGTAAAGTAAGTTCAGACAATATTTAAATATAGTATATATCACTGGGAAGAATAAGGAAAACTCATACTTCCTACTCTTCTCAAAAAACTTTATAAAAGATTCAGGGCCAATCTAGAACTCTTTTGCTCCAAACCAACGTTTCACTATTTAATGTTTTAAGGTCAACATTTCCTAGACATTTCTAGACAATCCTAACAGTTAATAAGGACAACACAGAATGAATTAGCAATGGATCACTCAAGGCTCAACTTCATCTCCTTTCCTTTTTCCCACTGAGGCCCCTGACATCTTCAACTCATTTAGCTCCAACCACTTCTCTGAATCAGCAAAGTTTACTCTTCTTTCAGAAAAGGAATAGAAAATGACCTACAGAACAAAGTTAAAAGCCAAACCCTCTGTATCCTCCCATCAAGAATGGTACCTGTTCAGGCTTCAGACCCGGTGGGACCCAGGCATACTCTTCCAAGGCGCAGCCTGAGTCATCATCCGAGGTCGAGTTCCTCTGGAAGTCGAACATGAGTTTGCTGATGGTCTTCTCCATCTCCAGCGGCATCACTGTTACCATGTGCTCCTCCTGGGGACACTTGCAGTGCAGGCAGATCTTCCTGCAGAGAGCAAAGGTGACAAGTGAGAAAGAAGGAAAAAGAAACCATTTTTTCAAGAGGCTGCTAGTCACCAGCTCTTAGATCCCAAACTATAACCACATTCCTTGGCAACAGGCTTCTGGCAAAGGCATCTCAAACAGTGTTCCAGAACACGCCTGTCTTTGTAGAAGGTGTGGTACATGTATGTGAAAACAACATGAAAGGTTGAGGGCCACCAGGTAAGCGTGCTAAGGGTGTTTAAATATGGACTCTGACCTTCTCTCTGTATCAGTATCCTAAGAGGAATACTAACACAGTTTTAATTTTACTAGATAGACTGCTGGAGATGAACCATAACCACAATTTCCTTGACTGTAATAGCAATTAAATATACATAATACATATTCTGACCACAAATATTACCCAAAGATTTAACAAATACTGACAACATACTGTTTTATAAAAGGTTCCTAAGCCTTGGAAAACAGAAGACGTGGTTTTAAAAATAATTGCGGGTAAAATTTTCTTTAAAAAGAAGAACAAATGTGTTTTGTTTTCTTACTAAACTTTCCTAATGAGATCTGGCCCTTAAGCTCTCAGAGGAAAGACAACTGCACCTCCAATAAAGATCCCTGTAGGTTTGAAATTCTAATTAGAAATCCAAATTTTCCCTATGTTGGTGGGGTTTTTTATATACAAGAAGATCATGCATGTGAATTATTTCAAAAGGTAGCAGCCAAAGATAAAAATCTCCCAAACTGAACATTTCTCTTTTAAGGTTACCATCTGTTCCCTTATCCATGGCTACAGAAATGATGAAGCAATAAATATGTTGATGTCAGCAACACAAAAGCATTGCTAGCTTCCACCAATAATATAAAAAGAGAAGAAAAGAATGAAGAAGGAACATTTTAAGGAAATAAGCTATTCTATGTGTACCCTTTTCTTTATTATTAGTTTCAGTAGCATCTTATAAAGGCAATGAAAGAGCCCAGAATCCTAATCCCCAGATGTGCCTGAATTTTTTGATAACAGCTTTGTAAAGACAGGATTCACATACCATAAAATTCACACACACCATTTTAAAGTGTATAATTCATGGCTCTTAATATATTCAGAGAGTTGTACAATCATCACCATATCTAATTTTATAACATTTTCATCACCCCCAAAAGAAACTTCGGGAGCATTAGCAGTAACTTCCCATATTCATCCTGCTCGCAGGCCCTGGCAACCACTCATCTATTTTCTGTCTCTATGGTTTTGCCTATTCTAGACATTTCATATACATGGAATAATATGTGGTCTTTTGAAACTGGCTTATTTCGTGTAGAATGATGTTTCAAGGTTAATCCACATTGTAATCATGTACAATCCTTCATTCCCTTTTATTCCTGAATAATATACCATTGTGTAGCTATACCACATTTTCTACTCATCAGTTGGAAGACATTTAAACTACTTCTGCTTTTTGGCTTTTGTGAATAATGATGTTTAAAATATATATGTAAAAATTTTTTGGTGGATACGTGTTTTTCATTCTCTTGGGTACATACCTAGAAATGAAATTGCTGGGTCATAGGGTGACTTTAACATTTTGAAGAACTGTCAAACTGTGTTCCAAAATATCTGCACCATTGTACATCTCCACTATTAATAAATGAGTGTTTCATTTCCTCCACATACTTGCCACACTTATTGTCTTTTTGATTGTAGCTATTCTAGTGGGTATGAAGTGGTATAATTGTGGTTTTGATTTGCATTTCCCTAATGATTAATAATGCTGAGCATCTTTTTATGTGCTTAATATATATCTTCTTTGGAGAACTGTCTATTCAGATCCTTAGTCCATTTTTAAAACTGGGTGATTTGTATTTTAATTGCTGAGCTGTAAGTGTTCTTTATATATTCTCTGGAAACAAGTCCTTTAACAGATACATGTTAGGACATTTTTCCCCCATTCTATGGGTTGTCCTTTCACTTTCTTGATGATGTCCACTGAGCACAAAAGCTTTTAATTTTGAAGGAGTCCAATTTATTATTTTTTGTTGTTGTTGCTTTTGTTTTTGGTATCATATCTAAGAAACCATTGCCCAACCCCTGGTCATAAAGATTTACTCTTATATTTTAATCTAAGAGATTTATGGTGTCAGCTCTTACATTTAGGTCTATGACCCACTTTGAGTTAATTTTTGTATATGGCATGCAATAGGAGTCCAACTTCATCCTCTTATAGTTAACCAGTTGTTTCAGCACAATTTGTTGAAAATAATAGTTCTTCCCCATTGAATTGTCTTGGTACCCTTATCAAAAACCAATTAACCATAATTGTAAAAGTTTATTTCTGGATTCTCAATTATTTCATTGATCTATATGTCCATTCTTATGCCAGTATCACCCTGTCTTGATGATTTAGGTTTGTAATAAGTTTTGAAATTATGAAGTAAAAATCTTGCAACTTTGTTTTTTAAAAAAATTGTTTTGGCTCTCCTTGGTCCCTTGAATTTTAGGATTAGCTTGTGAATTTCTGCAAAAAAAGGTCAGCTGGGATTTTGATAGGAATGTAATGACTCTGTAGGTCAATTTGGGACATATTGTCATCTTAATTTTCCAACCCATGAACACAAGATGCTTATTTATTTCAATTTACCTTAATTTCTTTCAATGATATTTTGTGGTTTTTCAGGTACAAGTCTTATACTTCTTTTGTTAAGTTTATTCCTAAGTATTTTATTCTTTTTGATGCTATTGTAATTGGAATTGTTCTCTATTTCATTTTCACATTGTATCGTATTGAAACAGAAATAATTTTTTTGTTTTGGTAGACAGAGTTTTTCTCTTGCCCAGGCTAGTCTCAAGCCCCTGGCCTCAAGCAATCCTCCCATCTTGGTCTCCCAAAGTGCTGGGATTACAGGTGTGAGTCACCATTCCTGGCCCTGAAGCAGAAACGATACTTACATTGAAATTGAATCATATAATCTTGCTCATTTATTAGTTTGTGTGTGTGTATGTGTGTGTGCATTCTTTAGAATTTTCTATATACATGACTATGTCATATGTGAATAGAGATAGTTTTATTTTTTTCCTTTTCAACCTGATATCCTTTCTTTGTTTTATCTTATTGTCCTGGCTAGAACCTCCAGTACAATGTTAAATAGAAACAACAATGTAGACTTCCTTTTCTTGTTCCTGATCTTAGGAACAAGATCTAACATAATACTTTTGCCATTAAGTATTATGTTAGTTGTGGGTTTTTTTAGGTGTCCTTTATCAGGTTGAGGAAAGTCTATGCTAGTTTGCTATTTTGATTACAAAAGGTTGCTGGATTTTATCAAATGCTTTTTCTGTATCTTTTGAGGTGATTAGTTATTTTTTGTCCTTATTCTATTAATGTGTCAGATTTTTTTTTATTTTTATTTTTTCAGTTAAGGTCTTACTCTGTTACCCAAGCTGGAGTGCAGTGGCATGATCACAACAATCATGGCTCATGGCAGCCTCGACTTCCTGGGCTCAGGAGATTTTTCCATCTCAGCATTCCAAGTAACTGGGACTACAGGGAGGTGTTACCACATCTAATTAATTTTTTGATTTTTGGAAGAGATGAGGTTTCACTATGTTGCCCAGGTTGGTCTTTAACTACTGGACTCAAGTAATCTACCCACTTTGGTCTCCCAAAGTGCTGGGATTACAGGCATAAGCCACCATGCCCAGCCTATTGTGCCTGAATTTTGACATAAAAATGTACTTGAAGAAACAAAATCATTTTAGTCTAGCCAAGTTAGGCTTGTCAGCTTCTCCCACTTCCTGCTTTTCATCAGATTGAAAATATACACAGACAGAATGGACACCTCAGATCTGGTTTGCATCTCCAAACTCACAGAAGTTCCATCCAGGCCCTGGTTGTTGCTTTTAAAACTAGTCAGAGCTCATTTTAACAGTGACTCCTTAATTAATCAGCTACTGTAAAGTGGTCAGGGCTATTGAGAAGCAGTTCGATTTCCTCCCCCCAGAACTTTTTATGGCAATATATGACTTAAGAAAAAAAAGTTTCAGTGTGATTAAGTTTCAGTGTGATTAGTAAGCTCTTCAGTGACTAATGCTTTTTACTAGAAAGTCATACGTTAAAATCAAAATGTAGAAGAATTTTACCAAATTCGGTCCCCAGAATATCCATCAATGAAGCTCATTTATTGAGCAATCCAGGGAAGAGCACACTATCTAATGCTGGATGGACATGATCTAATGAGCTGAAACTCCAGAAGAAGGAATACAAACAAGAAGAAAGCAAAACACAGGAGGACAGAATCAGATCCAGTACGAGCATCGATGAGTAGAAGGATAAACAGAAAAGAGAGGCAGGAGAAGGTGAAGGGCCCTATGTGGCCATACAGCAAATGACTATCATGCACCTACCACTTGCTAAGGTTTGCTCTCGGTGCTTGGGCACCTAACAAAAACAAAGATCCCTGCCCTCACGGCCTATGTTCTCAGAGGGGAGAAACGTGAAATAAACAATAAATATCACAAGTCATCAATCACCTAGCATATTAAAGATACTGTGGAGCGCTATGGAGAACAAGAGAGAACAAGTAGGACAAAGGTGGTCAGAATGGGAAGAAGGCATATGCCAAGCATTATGCATAGTATTTGTCTTGCTGTATACCTTATGTACATGATCCCAGATTCGCCCATCAGTCCTCCAAGGAGGGACTTATCATCCCTACTTTCCATAGAAGAAAACAAAAGCTCAGAGCCGTTAAGCAATGTGTCCAAAGTAAACCTTAATTAGCGAGCAAAGCAGGGACTCAAAATAGAGTCTACCTGACACTCGGATAAAAAAATTGCTTATAGAAAACATATCTGATTCCAACCACAGAATACCCTTTTACTCCTAAACACAAACTCACTCAGGAAAAGTAAAACCAAGAAGGAGAAAAAGTAAACAAAACAAAAATAGTAAATCAAAACAGAGAAGACCTTATTTGTCTTTCCTGCTAGCTGCCTGCCTTCTATACCTCATC